AATTTATACATATAAATATAAATTAATTTATACCTATAATTATATATACATATTAATTTATATATGTAAGTATATTTTTTTCTCCCATAGGCAAGCTGACCACTCTCCTAGGATCAAATAGGAGAAAATATGTTCTTGCAACTTCCAAAGACTAAATCCAATTTCAAGGAGTGCAAGTGAATCACTGCCACAGTTTTTTGTTCATGGGCACCTAGAACTTTATATACAGTTTGGTGGAGACTTATGTTTCTTTACCCCTAGGGAGTGGGTGAATTTATAGATTTTAGACATCTTGTTTTGTTTACCTTCTTATCCTCAGTATCACTTGGTAGAGGTTCCATAGAACTTTGATACATGAATTAATGAGCTACTCATTTATAGCACAGTTTAAAATTACTGGGTCATCAGAAAAGTTATGAAGTACTTTTGCATAGAATAGCATAGAAAAATATGTCATAACTTTTCCAACGACCCAATGGATGAGTTTGTATAGTAGCATTCTGTTGAACAAGTACGTTTTCATAAGTATAATTACAAACATACAATTTACAGTAAATTTTAAAGACAATGTGGGTCTTATCCACTTCCACTATAAAGACATTCCAACTGAAGTCTTTACTGCCTATGGACTAGTAGGAAAAGAGAGACAGTCAAATGTAATTCATCAGTTCGCAATCAATCTTAAATCCCTGACTGAGCAGACGTATTGCAATTCTTTACTTTGGAAAGAAATAAACAAGTGTGTGTGTGTGTGTGTGTGTGTGTGTACACTATGAATGCATATAAAGTACTTTAAGGTGGCTACGAGGATGGAGGGGTCACGAGGCAGTATAGATAGAGAGTAAGGGATGTATTTAGTGAACAAGATGACTTGATGAAAACATGTGAATCAGCAGTGCCTTGAGGAAGGTATCAAGTCTGGGCGGAAATTGAGGAAGAGGGCACATCATGGCAGAGAGGACAAAAGCAAAGAGGTGGAGGGAACCAGCAGTTAGCGTAATGGCTATGTCGCTGGACTCCCACGTAGTTGACCGCGGTTCGTGTCCCGGACCCGGGGGCTTAAAACTCACGCCGGGCGCGTGTGCGTGCGTGCCCAAGATCCCGAGAGGAGAATGGAGGTGAAGGGATTGCGGCGTGACCATCCCCCCTGGGGGGTGATTTCTCGCTTTCTGTCTCTATGTCTCTCTCTGTCTGTCTGGCGAGCGCACGCGCCCTACAGTGAAAATCTCTCCAAAAAAAAGCAAAGAGGTGGTATAGGAACATGCCTAGGGAGAATGGGAAACGCCCTGGGGAATCAGAGAGTTCATACTTTCAGGAATAGTAGGAATTGGACGGAAGGCCTTCACAGAGATGTGAAACACGACTCCCCCCTGTGCACCATAGGGGCTCGTAAAAATTGTTGAGCTGTGGAATGTTGTTTGACAACACTGCCTTAGAAATACAGATAGGGCCATTCTTTACAGACTGGACTGTGGGTTGTAGAAAGCTGTGAAAAAAGCTGAGGTGGACAGAGATGAGGCTGGATGCTCCCTCCAAGAGCCACTACTTACATTAAAATAAATTGCGTCCATGATGGGAACAGAAATGGAGCTGGAAATAGATGAAGACGGAAGTAGCAAGGGTGCCCACCACTAAGTGGTGACTGGGGTGGGCAAAGTCACTGGAGAACAGGTGACATTTCTAAGGAAGGGGCAACTCGGGAACACACAGATCAAGTCAGAGTTTAAAAACTGAGTATCGAGACCGGCCCGTGGCACAGTAGTTGGGGTTGGACGGGACTGGACTCCTAGATGGCCGACCAAGGTCTGAGTCCTGGACCTGGTGACCTGCTTTCTCACTTTTCTCACTTTCCTTCCTTGTCTCTCACTGGTCAAATGAAGTCTAATGATGATGAAATAATAATAATAAATTAAATACATAAATAAAAATATTTGATTAAAAAAAACTGAGTGTATTGGGTTAGCCCTTGGCTTGGAGTTTAGAGTGCTGGATCTCACGTGCCAACTGCGCAGTTTGAGTCCTAGACTGGCAGCAGAAAAGCATACCAGATTGAAACCCAAAATCTTAAGAGGAGAATGAAGGTGAAGTGATTGCAGTGTGGCCATCCCCCCTGGGGGGTGCTTTCTCACGGTTCCCTCTCTCTGTCTCTCTTCCTGGAATACATGCACCCTTTCTGGGACCACCAATCAAGCAGTCTGGCCTACTCTGACTTGAGATCACTGTACAAGACCCAAAGTGTTATACAGTCCCAGTGAATCAAAAGATTGGTTATGCTTCCCATCTTAGTCGCACAGAGGAACGGAAAACAAACAGGGAAAAAAAATACAGTGTACTCTTATCTCACCAGAACCTAAATCCAAAGTACTACAATTCCCAGTTTCTCAGCTGAGACATGTTTTTTTAGTTCCTGGATTTTTGAAACCACTGGGATAACATTTTCAATTATCTTAGTTTGTGCCCAAACACAGTGAGATGAAAAGGGCATGGAGGGGTAGAGGCCTGGAAGGGAAACCCACCCAGGAAGTGAGCTGGTCATGCACCACGCTCAACTCCAGCATCGCCAGGCTTTGGGAACTTTCACTCAGGTCCACAGGATTCTGATGGCATTTCTAAAGCCTCCAGAAAGGCCAGGAGTCTCCTACTCTGTCAGCCTACCCTTTACAACAGGAAAAAAATCTGTCTGAAACGCGGATCAGGAAAAGTAGCCACGTCAAGAGTTTTTTTGTGGTGTTCGGTTTGACTCCTGCGCGCGTTTCCTGGCTTCACACGCTCTGTTTATTGCTTCCCTTGAAATGACTTAAGCCGATGGTCTCCGACAGGCCTGGGAGAGGAAAGAAGAAACCCGGGGCCACTTCCCGGAACCCTTGAGCACTAGGGGTCTTTTTTTAATAAAGAAAAAAAAATGGGCACAAAAGAACACACTCTTAAAGCGGCATGGTTTGGGACCCCGATTCAGAAGGGAGATCGTTCTTTGCAGCTCCGAACCCTCAGTGAAGACCCAGCCCTGCTCTCGCGCTGCCGCTGAGCCGCCCAGAGAGCCCGGCTGGAGCCCCGAGGCCGCCGAGCAGCTCACAGCCGGAGCCCGGGGAGGCTGGCGCGCCGCCGGAGCCTCCCAGAAAGCGAAAGGAACCTGTGAACCGCAAATGGGATGCGCCCTGCACCCCCTCTCCGTCCTGCTTCTGAAAGGAAGCAGAATAAGGTTTTGCACGTGACAGATCTCTTAATCTTGGCTCTAACGCTGCATCGCCCCGAACGACTAAGACTTTGCAGAGGGACGCTGTCCCCTACCCCTGTGGTTGCCGTTTGCCAGCCATGGGGATTTTCGTCCCAGGCACTGCCTGCCTCCCTTGGTGCAGAAAAACGGACGTGGGCCTGAGACGCAGCAGCCTGGTCACCTCGATTCCTGCAGACATGACACTCCGCGACTGGAGGAGGGAAGGGGAAAGGAAGATGCCTTGTCTGACCTTCACAGATGGCGTTAATAACCCCCCAAGCATTTCCTGTTACACACGAACAGCAATAACCCCGAAAAGCAGTGTTGGGGTAGAACCAATTTAGTTGCTGAGGGGTAGAGGAACTAAAAAAAGAGAAGCTCCTTTAAGCAATTAATGCTGACCCTTTCGTAATTTCTGTCTTTGCCGTTTTCTCTATCAATAACGCAGTCTTACTGTAGTCATAAAATCCCCAGAGGTTATACAAGACGAGGTGTATATGTCTCGCATTAATCATTTTTATGGATGAGCTAAGAATACTGATTAACACCTGAATTTCTTCCTGGTCATATATGACATCTCTTATCTACTTGAAGGGAAAAACTCAGCAGGGATAAGGGTTTCCTTTAAATAGTCCCTACTCTATTTTGTGTAGATTTTTCTCATCTTGTTTTCTTCTCATTTTTTGTTGGTTGCTAAGTAGAAAGGGTTAAATTATAAGTTGCAAATCAAGGCAAAAGGGTATAAGGGAGACAACCCTTGATACTGTACAGCTCAGCTCCCGAGAATGTTAGCTTACTGTAAATGACATTAAAATGATGATTACCTAATTTCCATTTAAACAACCATTCCATTTATTTATTCTCATTTTAATGCAAAAGGACATTTTAAATATTTTGATAACATGTACGTTTTCTGAAAGGATTTTAAAATTTGTCATTGTCAGTTTCTCTAACGCTGATGCAATCCTGTAGTATCCGGAAGTCCCTATAGATGATCAAGTATGAGGTGCGTATCTCTCATTTAACCATCCTCCTGGATGGGATGGGCATATCAATTAGCACCTGAATTCCTTGTTGACAACTATCAGAGCCAGGATCTGATCTATTTGTTTTATTTTGCCTATGGTGCATCCTTCAAGTCTTCCAAAATAAATCAGTTTAGAAATGTTTCGCTTCTTTTATTTTGATCATAAATGGTCATATTTTTCCCATCCCCACTCCTGACAGTTCATATGTTTGGCCTCTTCCAGTGCCAAAGTCAAGGTGACTCCTTTGCTAGTCAATGTTAATCAATATGATTGACAACCTTCCTTCTGAAACAGGATCAACACAGGTAGTCTGATTATCAAAATCTCCTCAGCAGGGAAGGTGAGGCCACACAGGCAGCCAGAACCAAAACGGAGGTGACAGAAACACAGAACCGAGACTAGGGAGGGATCTATTTTGTGGGGTCAGAACATGGCTGTGATTTGGACCTGGGAAGGGCCCAAAGACAGCTTTAGCCCCTCCTCTCCCGTCGGAGGACTGTTAGTTCCCCATCAGTCAAAGGTGATCCCTAGGAGACCACCATTCTCTAAGCCCCACCCACCCAGCTCATTTACAGACGCCAATAAACAGATCAATATAAACCTTGAAAAATAAGTGTAGACAAGCAAGAACACCCTAAAATCATTCTGCATAGTTTGAACTTCTTGGTTTCCAAACTTCCATTTTATCTGAGAATAAACGAACCCTAAAGCATCAGAGAATATATTTATGAAAGGACATTAACATAGCATCGACCTACCTTTCCGAAAACTAAAACATCGTTTGATTCTTCTGTATGTGGTTTTAGGGATGAAAGGACTTGATGCTAAGGTACTTGAGGGGCGGCCCCCAGAATTTCGGTCTTCAGGCATCATACAGGCCCGGAAGTTCTGAGCCCTGCTCAGGTTTCCTTCAAAACCTGCCTCTGTGGGAGACCCCACAGCCAGTCCTTCTCATGTTTATTTATTTGTCAGATTTGAAGTGCTGATTCCTAGAACTTGAAGGTTTTGATCGTCCAGGTCCTGGATTAGGGACAAGGAGTTACCACTTCTCATTTACTCCTTTTTAGCATGAAAAAAAGCAAGCAAGCCAACAAACAAATAAACAAAAAAACCTCTTTTTCTCTTGCCTAATCCAGAGAGTTTTAAAGATATTTTAAGTTTCTGCAGACATTCCAGAAAGCCACAGGGAAAGAACTGCAGCGAGCAAGCTACAACTCCCATTCAAGCAGCAGGAACTTGTTTTGTTTTTGTTTTTGTTTTTGTTTTATTAAGAACTGTCTTCTCAGCTGGTCTGAGATTCCTCTGGAAAGGTCAGCAAAGGGCCCTTCGTGAGGGGAGAGAGGCACAATGACAAAAAGGTCCCTGAGGAATACTTCAGGACCGTTCTTGCTGGCTCCTTTCATCTGAGCAAAAGGGGAGGAAAATAATGGCACCTTCTCCAGAAAGCATTTCAGGACATGACAGATTCCTTTTAAAGGGCTCCCCTGTTTCGTTTACAGCACCCCTCATCCTTTGATGCTCTCTGCAGGCTTCTCCCTTTTCCCTTCTGTCTTCAAACTCCCAAGGGAATCACCACGTCAGAACAGCGAGTGCCCATTCCAGGAGGCTCCTTGGATCTGCGGGGGAGGCCGTCTTGCAGGGAGCTTCTCCTCCCCCTCCTGGTCGGGCTCCCTTTTCTCAATGAGAGCTGGGCGGGAGCTGGCAGGGCTGCAGCTGCCTCGTCACCAGGCTGTGGC